CAGCTGGAGCTATTTCCATAAGTTGCCAAAGGAGGCCTGGGAGAGGAAAACTGGCAGAAGGAAGGGAGCTCCCAGTCCCAAAGCTGAGCTTTCTTGAGAGCATCCTCCCTTGCTCTGGCCCTAAGAAGGCAGAGAGTCTGCCCAGGAGCACCGAGGACCTGCACTTGCAAACTGGCTTGCTGCAAAGGGCCACCAAGGGGCTTGGACTTTCTCGAGGGGCTGTTGGGAGCCACAGAAGGGTTTGGAGCTGGTGCAATGGACTGAGCCCTGGGCTGGGGTCAGGAGCCCTGTCCCTGTGTTCTGCACCTGGCTCATTCCCCACACATGGTAGATGATCAAGAAATGTCTGCAGGTTTTGCGGGTGAAGGCAGGGGAGAATATCAACTGGCAGGGAGGCGGGTGGCAAGGAGGAGTCACACCCTCTCATTTTACAACTGGAAACTGAAGGCCAGAGAGGGGAAGTGACTTCCCCAAGGCTTCACACCTAATAAGGGGTGAAGAGAGTGGAATCCCGACTGCGGGCTGTCCTCCCCGCCTCCCCTTGAGCCTGAGCCTGTGTACAGGTACCTATTAGGCATGTGTGCTACATGTGGTGCATTTGTATTGCTAGAGAGTTATGCAGACATGTGTATATGTGGATTGCATGAAGGGGCCGCAGTGGGTGGGTGGACACGTGTGTCTGCAGTGTCATGTGTCAGTGGACGTGTGTCTCTGGGGTGTCCTGTCAGGGTGTCAGGCGTGTGGGTGAAGGCCCTGGAGTTGCCTCAGCACCAGGAGGATGGTAGGAAGGTAGGGCTTGCTCTGGGAGGAGAAGGGAGGAGTCATGCGTCTGCCCACCCCTCACCAGCCTCCCACCCTCCAACGTGGCAGCTCACAGGACAGCCCTTTGGGTCAGAAGGCCCCAAACTCCAGGAGAAAGAATCAGTGATTGCAGAAGTTGCATTTCCCTGACTCATGCTTGGGGCTGCAAGCACATTCTTGGCTCCTGGACAGCATCTCAGAGAAAAACTGCCGGTGGCAGCCCTGGTTTCCCAGGGAGAAGGCCCACCATGGGCTGGCTATCCAAGCCTTTCTCGGCCAGTTTTATCCTCTGTTAAAAGAAGAAAGGGGGGCTTCCCTGGTGGCGCAGTGGTTGGGAGTCCGCCTGCCGATGCAGGGGATGCGGGTTCGTGCCCCGGTCTGGGAGGATCCCACGTGCCGTGGGGCAGCTGGGCCCGTGGGCCGTGGCCGCTGAGCCTCTGCGTCCGGAGCCTGTGCTCCGCAATGGGAGAGGCCACAACAGTGAGAGATCCGCGTACCGCAAAAAAAAAAAAAAAAAAAGAAGAAAGGGATGACGCTTCCTTCCAATTAACGTCCAATAATTAAAAGTGAGATATTGTTTAGGGTACCTGGCCACAGCAAAGGGCCCCATGAATGTCACTTCCTTGTCCTCTCCCTGTCCCAACTCCCCATCTTCCACAGACAAACAGTTCAAATCCCAGTTCTGACTGCAATTTGCTGTAAGGTCTTGAACTTAGCCTCCCTGAACCTCAGTTTCCTTGTGTTTAAAATGGAGACATTCTTACTTAACCTGAGAGTATTAAATATGGTGATATGAACGTGCTGGGCACTTAACATGTTAGCTTTTGTCCTAGGATTCTGTAGGGTGAGGACTGCCTCAATCTAGCCACTGAGGCTAGAGAGCCGTTTCTGCAATATCTGGCAGAACTGGGCCTGTGTACCTGGAAGGCCCAGTTAGAAGATGGTGTGGGAGAAAGAGGGCTGGGGCCCAGGGCATGGGCTCTCGCCCAGCTCCACCTCTGACTTGCTGTGTGACCTTGGGCAAGTTTCTGTCCCTCTCTGGGCCTCAGTTTTCCTCTCTGTACGATGTGATGCACTTGGATTCCACGGTTTTCTATTTCCTGCCGCCCACACCTCTTGGGACATGGGATTTCCAGCTGAGCCTCTGTCGGGGGGTGGGGGTGGGCAGGAACCGCTCCTGCTGGGAGCAGAGGCATTGGAGGAACCCAGACCTGAAATGCTGGAGAGTTTCTCTGCATTTCAGACTCTTTCCTCCCTCCAAAAACAGTGCTTTTTCCAAAAAGTGCAGCCTGGGAGTGTGGGGGAAGGGCTGCAGTCAGCAGGGCCTGGGCTGGGCTCAGAGCTAAGAATAATGTGGCAAAGGCTCTCCAAACTTTTTTTTGCTGATCTTGGAAATTTAAAGGAGCCGTTGCCTTTCTTTCTTCAGGGAGGTTGCAGGGAGGCTGTGCTTGGAGTCCAGTAGACTCAGGAAGACACTTCCCTTCACTCACTCACTGGCCACGCTCACCATATGCCTTTCTGGGCATGCCATGTGCTGGGTACTGGGGACTCAGAGTGAGAAGAAGTCTCTGCCCATCCAAAATCTCCAATGACATTCAGTGACCATACAGGGTGATGACACGGAGATAACGCAGCACAATGCCATAGAGGAGGCTTCTGACCCAGTCTGAGCTACAGTATCGGTCTAGTAAGTCTGGTAGAGAGTCTCCAGACCCAGCCCCCTCCCTAGGCCTCAGCTTCCCTATCGGTATATGGTGGGCATTGGTCCTTTCTACTCTGACCTTCTAGGATTCTGGGTTTATCTAACAGAGTGAGCCTCAGTTTACCCTTCCCCCTCAGGGCCGTCACTGAGGGTCGTAGCACTCAGCTTTCCCCTAAACTTCTGGTGAGGCTTCAGAGAGCTAAGAGATGAAAGGGTGTGGAGGAAAGGAAATCTCTGCGGGATTTTGACATCTGGACCTGCTGAAAATCAAGGCAAACCTCTCTTTCATTACACCAGCTTTGATGGACCCTTAGCTGACTGGCCAATTACCACCTGAGGGCCAAGCTGGGGGTGGGGTAGAGGGTGGAGTTGGGCCTGGGACCCAGGCAATTTTCTCAGTTTCCTTGAATAGCAAGGACTTATTCTTAAAAACAATACACAGATGAGGCAGAGGGAAGTACATGAAAACCAGGACAGCTGCACCAAAGAGATGGACACTGCCCTGAGGCTAAGAGATTTTGTCAACAATCAGACCTGTCCTAAGAAAAGGATACTGGTCTGCCTCTGAGGGAGGTGAGCTCCCTGTTCTTGGAGGAACCTGGGTGCTTGCCTTTTTGGGGTACTGCAGAGAGCACTTCCGCTAGGGGCTACAGACAGGAATCCATGACCTCTGAGATGCCTTGCAGCCCAGAGTCCTCAATACTTTTATTCTAAGATCCTTTGACTCTGAGAGTTAACATTCTAAGATTCCTTGTATGAATTCAAAGATTTCATGGGGATATCATATTCTGTGATGACTACCTTAAGGTTCAAGTGATCCCTGATTCTTTGACCCTGATTTGAAGAGTCTGAAGCTCTTGGGATCTAAGGTTTCCCACAATCCTTGTAATCAGACTTTGAACCTAAGCCAGACTGAGAAGTTAGTCACTACCACCACTGGGGTAGCCAGAAAGTGCCCTCCCCTCACCTCTGCTGCCAGGGACCTGGATGATTCATCTTTTGGGTGCTGGGCTTCATTTGCTCCCCAAGATCCAGAGATGCACCTGGAAGCAAGAAGATATTCAGCACAGTGTGTTGATTGGATGAATGAGTGCATGAGTGAAGGGTCTGTCCCTTCCTCTCCATACTGGGGTCCATGGGTTATCTATGATTTCCCTATTAAAGATTTGGGGGAGGGAGGGGGATGTCCTAAATCATCTTCTGCCCTCTCAAGTTCCCTACTAAGATGTGCATACCCCCCTCAGAATGTTCATCCTAAGGGCAGGGACTTTGTCCTGTTCTTGGCTGTGTCTTCTGCACCTGGAACGGAAATGAATACCCCAGCTTAGCTCAGAGCTCAAGAGGCTATCAACTGGGGGAGGGTGGGGCGAGAGGAGTTGGTAGTGAGACCTGTGGGAGAGGACCCAGACAGGGAGGGGCAGGGACGACCAAGGACAGAGAGACAGAGACAGACAGAGACAGACAAGGAAAGGAAGCAAGGAATGACATTTCACAAAGGAACTGAGGCCCAGAAAGGAAAGTAACTTCTTTAGGGGCACACAGCATGTTACTTAGTGGACAGCCAGGGTTTTCTTCCTGTGCACCCCTCCAGGCCCAAGCAGACCATGTGGTGTTTCCCAGGTGTCTCCAATACTTTCCTAGGTGAGGGTCAGGTACTGGGACTGGCCCGACCACTCTTCCTGTTGGGTTGGCCACTGAGGTTGAGCTCCAAGGTGTTCAGGATAAACTGCACATGGAGAAGGGTGCTGCCTCCCAACCTCTGACCACCTCCCCTGAGAGGAAGGAGAGGGGCCCTGACTGAGGAGGGGGTGTGTAGGGGAACCCAATTAAGTTTCAGCTCAAAAATGAAGGAATGGATCCACTTGGAGGCAGAGCTGCTGCAGGGAAAGGGGTGCTGGAAGGAATGTGCAATCAGGGGTAGCTGGCTTGTGCAAAGAGCCTTGGGGTGTTAGGGGGCTCCTCTCCGGGGAGTTGGACCCTGGAGACCCATGTCCCCTCCAGCTAAGTGTTCCGAGCTCCCACTAGGGTGCAGAGTCTCAGCTGAATCAAAGGATGCCTGCTCGCTCTGCAGTCGTGCGGGCCCCGGGCGCCCAGCCTCAAGGCAGGGGCTCCCCGGGTGCCGCGACCCCGTCCGATGAGGGGGGCAGTAGGACCCAGGGGCCGGGTGACTGCCCGCAGAGGGAGAGGCGGGAGCCGGGGCGGTTTGGGGGAGGTCTTTGGCTTTTTTTGGCGGAGCCGGGGCGCCCTCCGGAAGCTTTTCTAACTTTCCAGAAGTTTCTCGGGACGGGAGGGAGGTGGGGTGGGGGAACGCCATATATAGATCTGGAGAGCGGGGGCGCGGCGGAGAGTGGAATCCGTTCGCGGCTCGAGTGCGGCACTGTGACTGCGGTCCCGGCGCCAGCACAGCCCGGCCAGGTGAGGGGCGGGGGCGGGGGCGGCCCGGGTGGGGCGGGAGCGGCCGGGGAGAGCGGCGGGAGCTTTGGGGGTGCTCAAGAAAACGAGAGGGGAGAGCGGCCCGCGGGAGGGTTTAGGGGCCACTCCAGAGCCCGCAAACTGGAGTCCCTGGCACTCTGGGGACAGCTGGAGGGTTCGGCATGGAGAACCCGGGGCTGGGGGGTGATGGCGGAGCGAACCCGAGGGCCAGAGCTGAGATCAGAGCCGGGATGGGGAGTCGGGGCACTCAGAGGGCCCGGAAAAAGTGCAGGGTTCCGCACAAGTGTGGGGCAGGGGTGCTGGTGGCAGAGAGGAAACAGTGGGGCTGGGAGCCGGGATGCTGAGGCTCGTCCCTCTGCAGGATCAAGGAGGGAGAAGATGGGGTCTGGAATGCCTTCCAGCAGGGACAGGGAGGCCAGGCTGGCTTTGCATGTCGGGGTGCCTCCAGTTGTGGGGTTGAGGCCCAAGGGCCAGTGGACCACCCTCCTCACAGGCTTGCTGGGGGAGCATCTGAGCCTCCTGAGGTAGGGTGGTAGGAAAAGGAGGTGAAATAGCCTTGACTTTTACTTGGCTCTTGGGGTCCCCATGGTTTGGGAGGAGTCCCCCACCGCGGCTCCATTTCTGATCAGCAGCCTGCACGTGTAGGTTATGGCAGCCAGCACCAGTCTCCCCCACTTCCCTCCAAAAAGGGGTGAGGAGGTGACCAGGTCTGCAACCTCCCACAGAAGGGACAACGGGGCGCTCCCTAGAAGGCTTTGAGTCACCCACTCTAATTCTGTCCACCGCCACCTGGTTCCTGGAGTAACTGCAGGGTTAAGGCTACTTAAGAGGCCGGGGTTCCCTGCCCCCAGCTTAGGGACATTCCTGAGACGGCTGGAGTGGTGGAAGAAGAATGAAACCGCTTCCAGCATGACCAGAAAGGCCTGGCCCCTCCTCTTCCCGGGCTTCCGGCTGGTCCCGCTGGTCTGCAGGGCCCGGATGGAGGCCGGATGGAGGCGGAAGGAAAATCAGGGGGCTTTGGTTCCCTGGAAGTCTCTGGCTGGGACCACACCCTCCTGTCCTCAGGCAGTTCATCTGCCCATCCCCCCTTCCTGAGGCCTCCGCGTCCCCTCCTTTTGTCTCTGGTCACCGGGATTCCCAGCAGAAATGTTTTTTCACGGGCTGTGTAACAGGACACCATATCCAGCTCTCCAGAGGGGCTCTGTGGGTGCTTCTGGGAGGAAGGAGCCCTGTGCTAGGAAGCCTGACCCCCACTGATCCTTGGTGGACTGGAGGTGGCTCCCTGCCCACTCTCTTTCCTCAGTTTCTCCCACTGTTTGGTGAAGTGAATGACCTCCAAGGTCATTGTAGATCTGGGACTGGTTACGTCTTCCTTCTGCCAGGGGCAGTGCAGACAGGGTTCCATATGGGGGCTGGGACTACCAGGCCCCCTCCTCACCACCACGCCAGCTCTGCCCTATCCCATCCTCCTCACTCTTCTGTTTTCTTTCAGAATGAAAAAGGCAGGCACTGACCTCCCCCTGAGGCAGTTTCAAGGTACTTTAGCCCTCCTCAAGTGTTTGAGAGCCCTTCTGGTGGTCCCCCCCCCCCCCAGCACCTGCTTCCCTTCCCTCTACTTGAGGGAACCCAGTCTCAACTTGGCCTGGCTAGCTGTGGGCACAGCCCTCGGTTCTGGGCTCGTGTATTTTTCTTTATGGGAGTATAAATCTTCTAACCTTAGCCTAAGGGCTAGGATTTCTCTGTAGCAACAGGGGCTGGGCTGTGGGAGGCTGGCTTGCGGGAGGCTGGCTTGCTTGCAGTGACTTGCCTTCCTCCGTTCCTACTTATGGGTTAACAGGGCAGCCCTTCTCCATAGCTGCACATCTCCCTGCAGAGAGTGACGTTGCGGGCTGGAAGCTAGGGCCAGGGAGGCTCCGTGGCACCCCCTGGGACCTGAACCCAGGCCTCCCGCTTCCCGGGTTGGAAGCCCCCCTCTGCAGGCGGGTGCAGATAATTCAGTTTCCAGCCTGCCACGTCACCGGGCGCAGGAGCGCAGCTGTGTGGCTGCCTGAGGAATCCCAAACTAGTCATTTGGAGCTTTTTTAAAAAGCCCCTCCCAGCCCTTTAAGGTTCTGGTTGGCTGGGGGTGGGGCTGTCAAGACAGTGCCTGCCACGTGGCAAGGCTGTGAACTAGACTCCGAGACTGTCTCTCAAGGGGATGCTGGTGGCCTCTGCAGAGGTCCCAGCTCTGGCGTCAGCGGTCTGGACTAAAGGCGGCCTTTGAATAGGATGACCATATATATATGCCTGTTGTCCTGGCCTAATAATTAGTAGTGTCCCATTTTACTCTCTTAAGTGTCTTTTTTTGTACAATAATTATATGGCTGCTCTGCCTTTGAGGCTCCAGGCCTGGTGGGGAAGTAGCTAGGGCTGGGAGGAAGGCGGCCTGGGCCCTGAGATATTCCCTTCCCAATCCGTTCTTTAGGGTGAAATTCTGTCTTACCTCTGCAATCCATACTCTAGGCTACAGATCTCTTTGATACCTCCCCCCAGGCAGCTGTGGGGCTCAGTGGCCTTCCCTCCTCCCCCCACCTCTCCCCATGTACCTTTTGCTTCTCCTCTGCACCGCACCTCCAAGGAGGTGGCAGCCCAGGGAGGGGGGCCTTGGCTTGGTTCACAGGATGGCTGCAGCAGTAGAGTCTTCGCAGAAAGCCAGTGCTCCCCAGGCAGGCTCAAGGCCTGAGGGTCGTCCACCAGGATTCTGAGTTTTCCATCTTCTTGAGGACCATGAGATGGGATCTGCCAGAGCCGTGGGATCACCGCGGTTCCTTCCAAACCTTCCCTTTGCCATGTCACCTCCTCTTCCCTTGTGCTGCCTGGAGAAGCGGAAATGACCTCAAATTGGAGGAGTGTGGAAATAAGTCCATGTGGAGAGACTGTCCTGATGGGAGGCCCCAGAGAGGGGAGAGGGGCTTGTCCTAGGGGCCACTGCTACTGCTGTGGTTTGAGGAGGGGACCTGAGGGCAATCTTGAAGCCACAGAGTAGATGGGCATGTGTGGTGATGACTGTCAGATGGGAGGGAAGAATGGAATCTGAGGTGGCCCAGCTTCCTGGGAGAATGAACACACATCTGGCCACCAGCCTCTGGTGAAGGGGTGTCGATGTTATTGTTCCTTTGAGCTGTGACTTACCCTCTCCCTTAGTATCCTTCCTCTCAGGAAACCTCCCCCCCCGGCCCCCCCCAGCTTTTGTCCTGGGGATTTCACATCCGCTCCAGGGGCTGTGGGCAGACGGGCAGGCAAGTCCCTGCCGAGACAGAAGCCTGGGCATGGAGACCTAGACCCATATAACTTGGAAAATGGAGCCTGAGGCTCAGAGAGGGGAGCACACACACATGCACACATGCGAACTCAAGGTCACCCTTGGGGCAGCAGAGTAGAGCATCTGGACTCTCTCATTTAATGAGTGAACCAACTGGTGACTCATTAACATCCCAGGGCAGAAGGAAAGGCATTCGGGGAGGTGCAGGCCTACACCTCCACCCCACATGACATCCTTTGTCCAGGCCCCTGAGTTTCATGCAGACGCTGAGCCCATCTACCACTTTTTTTTTTCCCCACTGGAAAAGGGGCCCCAGGGTTGTATGAGATCAGAGTTAATAACTAAAGACCCCAGGTTTGGGCAAGTGGCCCTGGTTTTTGTTCATTAAGGAACAGCTGAGGCCTCTTGTGTGCCAGGCACTGGGGATATAGAGGGAAGCCAGACTGGCTAGGTTTCCTACCCTCCTGGAGGTCACAGACTAATTAGGGATGGAAACAGTACATAACAAACATAAGTCTAAATGTTAAAGTTCAGTGCAAGAAATCAATAGAGCTGAGGTGGGGACTTGCCTGCTTTGGCTAGGGAGTCAAAGAAGGCCTCTGAGAGAGTGGGCAGACGAGACCCCCAATCTGGGCAACCCGGAGTTAGGTCCGGGCTCCCTAGAGCTCTGGGCCGTCTTGCTCCCATCTCCAGGGGACTTGGTGACAGCCAGAAGGCTAGGGATGGTTGTTGGCGAGGAACGACTAGGGCTTCAGGGCCGCCCTCTCTCTGCCACCCTCACAGGTCCTCCGTGGTGCTCACGACCCGCCTCCCAGCCATGCGTGCCCTTCTGCTCATCAGCACCTTCTGCCTACTGGCCAGGGCCCTGGCCGCCGAGGTGAAGAAACCCGCGGCCGCAGCAGCTCCCGGCCCGGCTGAGAAGCTGAGCCCCAAGGCGGCCACGTTTGCTGAGCGCAGCGCCGGCCTGGCCTTCAGCCTGTACCAGGCCATGGCCAAGGACCAGGCGGTGGAGAACATCCTGCTGTCGCCTGTGGTGGTGGCCTCGTCCCTGGGGCTAGTGTCGCTGGGCGGCAAGGCGGCCACGGCGTCGCAGGCCAAGGCGGTGCTGAGCGCCGAGCAGCTGCGCGACGAGGAGGTGCACGCGGGCCTGGGCGAGCTGCTGCGCTCGCTCAGCAACAGCACGGCGCGCAACGTGACGTGGAAGCTGGGCAGCCGCCTGTATGGGCCCAGCTCGGTGAGCTTCGCAGAGGACTTCGTGCGCAGCAGCAAGCAGCACTACAATTGCGAGCACTCCAAGATCAACTTCCGCGACAAGCGCAGCGCCCTGCAGTCCATCAACGAGTGGGCGGCGCAGACCACCGACGGCAAGCTGCCCGAGGTCACCAAGGACGTGGAGCGCACCGATGGCGCGCTGCTGGTCAATGCTATGTTCTTCAAGCGTGAGTCCGGAGGGGCGGGGCAGGGCGCGGTGGGGCGGGGCCTCCTCTCCCCGGAGCCCCGCCCCTGGCAAATCAGGTCAGTGTTCCCGTGCTGAGCACCACAGCTGGGGCTCCTTCAGTCCTCATTAACAACCTGTGGACCCAGAGGGAGGCACTGTTACTGAACTCTTGTTACATACGAGATGCTAGATTCAGAGAGGTGTAGTGTTGTGTCTAAAGGAACGGGACAGAGATGCAAGCCCCACTGAAGGACTCCATAAGATGTGCTCCTGCCGTGTTTCATCACATCAGAGTGTTGTTGCTCGTCTTGGAATCAAATTTAGTAATCAATTCTATCTCAGTAATGAGCTGGAGAAAGGCTCCACATCTGTGATCATTACTAACCCTCAAAGCAACTTTGGGGGCAGGTGGTGTTACCTACATTTCACAGGTAAGGAAACTGAGGCTCAGCTAGGAGGAGAGAGCCCGGACTCAGGTCCAGGTGCATCTTGAATTGAAGATTCGATTTGGGCTTAATGTGTATTTTTGAGTACCTGTATGGATAGCACTGTTCCTCTCATGGCATGCTGTGAGGATGAGGTGACCCCTCTTTTACAAATGAAGGGACCAAGATAGGGGTGAAAGGTCTTGCAGCCAGTTGGTGACTGAGACTGAATTTGAATACACGTCTGTATGTGACATAGGGCAGGGCTCATGCCACTGTCACGTATTCGTGGTTTTTTGGGTCATTTTTGGGGGCACAGAGACAGGGCTTGCAGACAAGAATTAAGGGTGGTCTTGGGGCATCCCCTGCCCGGGGCACAGACCTCAGTTAGCAGGTGGGGTGGGCAATCTAGCTCAGTGCATGTTGCGCAAATGCCTGACGGCTGTCAGGGCGGAGGTGGACATGGTGGTAGCTAAGCTGAGGGTCCTCCTTCTGAAGGCACCCCCTGTCATGTGGAAACAGGTAGGCCCTAAATGTAGAGAGCCATATCTTCAGGCAGCATGTCCTGGGGCCAAGACCCACACCCCCAAAGCAGGGAACATGTACTCTGTGGGCTGGGTGCTCTGGGGGAGGCGGGCCACAGGTAAGCCCAGAAGACCTTAACAAAGGCCTTGAGCAGGGAAAAATCCAGGGTATGCAGTTGAGGGGAGTGTCTTGACAAGATGGGGACATCTATTTCTGACCTTGTGTTCTACTTCCCACTACAGCACACTGGGATGAGAGATTCCACCACAAGATGGTGGACAACCGAGGCTTCATGGTGACCCGTTCCTATACCGTGGGTGTCACCATGATGCACCGGACAGGTAGGTGCCTTGCAGGGCGGGGTTGGGGGGGCAAAGTGGGGGCTTGAGGGTGCTTGGGGCCTGGCCCACCCCCGCACCACAGTGTTCCCAGTGCCGTTTCTGCTCTTCTCCCAGGTCTCTACAACTACTATGATGACGAGAAGGAGAAGCTGCAAATTGTGGAGATGGCCCTGGCGCACAAGCTCTCCAGCCTCCTCATCATCATGCCCCACCACGTGGAGCCCCTTGAGCGCCTTGAGAAGCTGCTGACCAAGGAGCAGCTGAAGATCTGGATGGGGAAGGTTCAGAAGAAGGCTGTTGCCATCTCCCTGCCCAAGGGTGTGGTAGAGGTGACCCACGACCTGCAGGTGAGGGATGGCCCAACTCAAGGGCCTGCAGGGCTTGGAGGGGGGCATGGCGCATGGGGCAACCATTCACCAGCTCAGCAGGTCTGTCCTGAACCCCTCTGGCTGTCCAGGCAGTACTGGGCTGTGCTGGGGGAGGAGGCATGGTCCCTGCCCTTGGGAAGATGGTGATAACATCAATAGCTAAATATTGGGTTGGCCAAAAAGTTTGTTCAGGTTTTTCTGTAACATCGTACGGAAAACCCAAACGAACTTTTTGGCCAACCCAATAAAATTGAGCACGTGCTGTATGCTAGGCACTCTTCCTAAGCACTTTGTGTGTATTAAACTCTTAATTCTCAAAACAACTTTATCAGGTAGGACTATCAACCTTATCTTACAGATGAGGAAAGTGAGGCTCAGGAAAGTTAAATAACGTATCCAAATTCACACAGTCAATAACTCAGACGTTTTTGCAGGCATGCCTCATTTTATTGTGCTTCGCTTTACTGCGTTTTTTTACAAACTGAAAATGTATGGCAATCCTGCGTCAAACAAGTCTATTGGCTCCACTTTTCCAACAGCATTTGCTCGCTTCGTGTCTCTTTGTCACGTTTCAGTAATTCTCGCAATATTTCAAACCCTCCACCAGCAAAAAGATTCACTCCCTGAAGGCTCAGATGATGGTTAGCAGTTTTTAGCAATAAAGTATTTTTAATTAAGGTATATGTACATTGATTTTTTAAGACATAATACTATTGCAGAGTTAATAGACTACAGTATAGTGTAAACATAACTTTTATATGCACCGGGAAACCAAAAAATTCGTGTGACTCACTTTATTGCAATATTCACTTTATTGTGGTGGTCTGGAACCGAACCCGCAATATCTCTGGGGTATTCGTGTATAGACTGTTCAAGCTGGAGGATTGTCCCCCGTGCAGTAATAAGACTAATCATGGCTTTCAGCTCTGAGTCACTTGGCTGGAAACTTAACCAAACCCGCTCAACGTCATTTCTCCCTCATGACCACTCCGGGCGGTGGGCAGCGGCTCAGAGAGAAGCAGTGACTCGCTAAGGTCACCCTGGCTAGTAAGCAGTGGAGCTGCAGTTAGTTCTCAAGGCGAAAACTCAGGGTGGCCTTTTTGTCAATCAGGAGAGAAAGATTTTTTCCTGTACTCAAAAGGGAAAACTTTCATCTCATTCCTTCCTTGGATTCCAGAAATGATTCCTTGACAGGTCTCTCACCTGCAGAATTGTTTCAGACTTGTTGCTGAGAGAGCGTGGAGAGAGAAAACTTGAGATGAGATGGGGCTTAGGCTCCAAACTGGAGACTAGTGGAGCTTGTGTGGTCTGTACTGTAGACAGCACTGAGAGTTTCCAGAGGAGCCACCTGTCTCCTTCTTGCGCTTGTCCCGACTCTACCCCAGCCCTTTCTCCTGCAGTTGCTGTCATCTGACTCCCCTTCTTTCTCCCATGTTTTCCTGGCACCTGGTTGGACATACTACCCACTATCCTGCAGTAGATTGAGTTGGGAAATTCCAAGAGGGTGATTTGTGCAAAGTCAAGGGGACTGGAATAGCTGGGCCTAGAATGCCTGTCTCAGGACACCCTGACTCTCAGATCCCTAGGTCTCGTGCCCGTTTGGCCATGCTGGGGAAGTGCACTGTCCCGCAGAAGCCTGGGCCCTGAAGGCTGCTCTTCACTCAGCCGACAGTCCTTTACTGCCACCTCTTCTGCACTGAGAGCCAGGGAGAGCCCTGAATATGGGCCCTGCCTTGAGGGAGCTCTGAGCCAGGTGGGAGAGACAGACAGGACCACACACTGATAGCCAGAGGGAGGCCAGGGGTGCTGAGGCCCAGAGAGGCGCGGCTCCAGTCTTGTGGGATAGGGAAGCCTTCCCGGAAGACGTGGAGTCTAAAGGGCCCTACAGAGACAGGGTAGCCACTGAGATGCCATCGAGGATGCAGTTTCAGGGAGGCTGTTGAGTGGAGAGCGGAGTGGGACATACTGAGGGTTAAGGCTGCAATGCAAGCACAGTTCACAGGAAAGAGCTTGTCCTTGGCTTCCAGGGGTTGTGCGGAGCCTTAGAAGAGGGTGTGTGTGTGTGTGCGTTTTAACTTTTTACTATGGAAATGTATAAAAATATATTAAAAATAGAGACATTAGTATCAGGAACCCTCATGTATCCATCAACCATCGTCAACTCATGACCAATAAGGATTCATTTATACACACCCATTCCTCGCCCATCAGATTATTTTGAAGCAAATCACAGACATCATATCACTCTGGAAAGGTTTTAAGCCCCAGAGTGATGTGGTCATAGCTGTCCTTAGGAGTCTTTCTCAAACTTGAGTGTGTCAAGAACTACCTGGAGAGTTGGTTCAAAAAAGTTCCCAGGCCACCCCCAGAGATTGTGATTCCGTGGCTCTGGGCTGGAGCCAGGGAATGTGCGCTTCGTGTAAGTCCCTGGGGCACGCTGATGCTGGCGATCCACCACCCACAGTTCGAGAAGCACAGGTCAAGATGGCTCGGCGGGGCCAGGCATAAATTCTGCCTTTTCCCCCTGAGCCTTAGTTTCCTCATCTGTGAAGTGGTGATTGGAAGCTGTTGCAGGGTTTTCATGAGAATTAGGAAAGCAGTGCTTGGCAGTGCCCACACCATGTCTGGCACACAGAAGGTGGCAGGGAGTGGTAATCTCTGCTCTGAGGGAAGAGACGGGAGGAGACAGCAGGCGGTGTGGGTGGAGGGTGAGGGTCTAGGAGCCTTACCCACCGTGGCCTCACCGGCACTCACCTGGTCCTGCAGAAACACCTGGCTGGGCTGGGTCTGACTGAGGCCATCGACAAGGACAAGGCAGACCTGTCTCGCATGTCCGGCAAGAAGGACCTGTACCTGGCCAGTGTGTTCCACGCCACCGCCTTCGAGTGGGACACAGACGGCAACCCCTTCGACCAGGACATCTATGGGCGTGAGGAGCTGCGCAGCCCCAAGCTCTTCTATGCCGACCACCCCTTCATCTTCCTGGTTCGAGACACCCAGAGCGGCTCCCTGCTGTTCATCGGGCGCCTGGTCCGGCCCAAGGGTGACAAGATGCGAGACGAGTTGTAGGGCCCCAGGGTGGGTGTGGGATGGCACGGGGCAGCGGGAGGCTCCTGAGACACATGGGTGCTATGGGGGTGGGGAGCTGAGGTACTGACCTTGGATGGTCCACGGGGTGGGGGTGGGAAAACAGGGGGGGGGCTGGCTGTGTCTGAGCAGACCTTCCCAGCCAGGATTCACTCTGCCTGGACACAGGCCCCCAGATGTCAGGATGCTGAGCCCAGAGACCCCACATCCTGTGGGAGCTGGGCAGTAGTCATGGAGCCCTGCTCCCAGCCCTGGGATCCAGGCTGCCTCTGTCAGTGTTCATATTTATAGCTGTGTGCTTTCTCATCTGTGAGACAGAATCGAGCTGGGGGTTCAGCCAAGCCCTCATGGAATGGGGGCCCTCTTCCTGATACTACCACCACCTCAGCCCCTCCCCGGCTCCCTCCCAATCTTCTAACTTCCCTCAACTATAAAACTAGGTGCTGCAGCCCCTGGGACATGGACCCCCTCCCCCGCCATGGGTCCGACCCCAGTGAGCGGGTCGGGTATAGCTTATGGGGCGGCAGGGGGAGCTCTTGGGCAGACTCCAGTCAGGCATCATGGGGATGAACTTTTATTTTTTCCTTTTATAGATTTTCAAAGATGGGGAGGAAAGGGGGGAAATGAGCCTTTGTTGCTGTCAGACGAAGATCTTATTTGTACAATTGTTGTTTTTCAATAAAATTTTCCAGTGAAATTTTGTCAGAGCATGGAAGGAGATTGGATCAGAGATTCCCATCTCACCCTTCCCCGGGGATAAGGGCTCCTTCTGTTAAGCCACGTTTGCTAATAGCCTTTGTCAGGCCCTGAAATCCTGGCAGATGAATGCAGGTGATACCGGGTGGCAGGCCCACTATGTGCTGAATTGGAAATTGTTTTGGCTCGGGCTACCCTGGAGAGATGGTGGCTGCAGGGCCGGAGTGACAGCGCTGGACCTGGAGCCCAGACTCTGCTGTCCTGCTGTGCAGGGCCCCAGGGTCCCAGTCTTCAGCCCCCCAGGCTTTCACTTAAAGCTGACCTCATCCACATCCAGGGCCAGAGGGCACAAGCTCAGGCTGCCCAGCTGGGCAGGACTTTGTGAAGAAGGAGCTTGTGGTAACCTTGCTCCGTGTTTGGGTTTGCAGCAGGAGATGAGGGACCTGATACAGTCCTCACATTGGTTACCTTTCATGGTCCTTGGGGCTCCTGACATCACAGCTCAGGGAGGGAGAGGGCAAGTGGGATGCACGGGACAGAAGACCAGTGGCCAGGGAGGCAGAGGAACAGAGGAAACTGGATTCATGTCCCATCTCTGCTGTTTGCTGGCTGTGTGACTTTGGGAAGGTCACTACCTCTCTCTGGACACCTCTCCAGCTTCTGTTTGCCAAGAACTCTGCCCTGGGGGTTGTTGGTCCGAGGAGGGAATCCCTGCCTGGCTGGGCAACCTAGTTGGAGTCCTCCAAGATGTGAATGGGGCTGCAGAAGGGCCAGCTGATTCACTCCCATTATTACCATAATGCAACACAACTGTTTAGAACTCCAGGTCTGTTCTGTGCTGTGAACCCAATAAATTAGATCTCTGCCCTAAGGAGGCTTCATCTAGAAGTGGAGACATAGGGACAGTGACAGGTATGCTCGGTACACTGTTCCAGTCCCCTGGATCATTCTGTTCCCAGACATGCCACACTTACTCTCCTGCCTCAGGGCCTTTGCACTAGCTGTTCTTTGTGGCAAGTGGTTCTTCTAGATCTTTGCAAGACTGCTTTTTTGTCGTCCAGAACTCAGCCTAAATGTCATCTACTCCACAAGGGCCTTCCCTAACCACCCAGTATAAGCAGCTCCTCCACAACATCAGTTTCTTTACTATGTTTTCTTGTTTTACTGACTCAGTGCTCCTAAATTATCCACCTATTGACACATTTGGTCTGTCCCCACTACTAGAATGGAAGCTCCACGAGAATAGGGATGATGACTTTTTAAAATAATTTTTATTTATTTATTTTTGGCTGCATGCGAGCTTTCTCTAGTTGCGATGAGCGGGGGCTACTCTTCGTTGCAGTGCCCGGGCTTCTCATTGCAGTGGCTTCTCTTGTTGCGGAGCATGGGCTCTAGGTGAGCGGGCTTCAGTAGTTGTGGCATGTGGGCTCAGTAGTTGTAGGTCACAGGCTCTAGAGTGCGAGCTCAGTAATTGTGGCACACGGGCTTAGTTGCCCCGCGGCATGTGGGATCTTCCCGGACCAGGGATCGAACCCATGTCCCCTGAACTGGCAGGCAGATTCTTAACTACTGCGCCCCATGTCTTGTTCATCACTGTATGTCCTGCACTCAAATTCAGTGTCATACACACATAAGGCACTCAAAACCTTTTATTAAGTGAAAGAGCTGTGTTAGAAGGGCACCAGGGCTTCGGGAATCCAGAAGGGTGCTATGGGTGGGTGCCATGACTGCCATGGGGAGATCAAGGAAGACTCCCAGGAGGAAGTGACATGTAGGCTGCCTTGAAGGGTAAGTAGGCATTTCTTGATCAGAATAATGATTTTAATAATACCAGCTGGTCCTTCCTTTGTATTTTGCTTCTACTATGTGCCGAACACCATGTCGGTCACTTGATATATATATTTTATCCCGGCCTCCTAACAGCTTGGCTAGGTAGGGATTATTCCCATTTTACAGGTGAGATAAATGAGGCTGAGAGCCCAGTGGGGCTGAGCTGGGAAATGCTCCTAGCCAGCTGGAGAGTTGTTCTTCCTCCATGACACACAGAAAGGGCAGGAGAGGAACTGGCCAGATTTTAACAGGAAAGGTGCATAACCTCAGTCCGTATACATTGTCCAACTTAGTCCCCACAATAGCCCAGTTAGGTGGGAAGTCTTCCTACTCACACAGGTATAGTTCAGAGATGGGGAGACTGGACTAGAAGTTGGGACTCCTGGACCCAAAGCTCAGCCTGCAACAGCTTCCCCACCAGGTGGGCATGGGCAGTGAAGGAAGGCAGGGCTGAGTGTGGGGCTGTCCAGATGACACAAAGGGGGCCCTGAGGCCACCTGCCTCCATCTGGGCACAGGCGGGAGGGTGGTGGGAGGTCTGTGCTCCCACCTCACAGTGAGGGGTAGGGTTGCTGGCGTGAAGGGTGGCAAGGCAGGTGGTGGAGGTGGATAGGTCAAGGTTGGGCTGGGGCTGGACCAGCCATGTCAGCACCCTTGATGGCCCATCACAGCTCTGTGTGGAGCTTTCTTGCCACCTGGAGGCCACTGAAGGGACCTCCTTGTTATTTCCACCACTGTGCTTGTTAAAAGTCTCAGAGAGATGATGACCCTGCTGCACTGTGTGGGTCCTGGACATGAGTGCAAGTGTGGGGAGACGGGGATTAACTTTTACTGAGCACCGACTATGTGCCCTGCACTGCCGGGTACACGTGAGGGAAGCTCTTAATTCTTAGAGCTTCCCTCAGGGGTAGCTATTACCATCCCAAGTTATAGAAGAGAAAACTGGGGTTTAGAGAATAACATGACCAGCCCAAGGCCACCTAGCAGGTCAGTGACAGAGCCTGGCAAGTATGGGAGCGCAGGTCAGCTGGCTGTGGAGGAGAGAGGTGGTCGATACGCGTGAGCTCCGTGCTCCACGGTTTACAGGAGGCGGTCAGTAACCAATGGGATTCTATATAATCTTTACTCCAGTCCCTGCAGCTAAAACCTCCTTGAGAGTAGCCCTTGTCTGCCCATGCCCTGGCCACATCCCCAAACCCAGCACAACGCCTGGCACATAGGAGATGCCTAATAAATGCTCACTCAAAGGAAGTGGTCCAGTGGGTGCTTTGGTGCTTTGCAGCAGAGGCATTAGAGCCTGGCAGGCCAGACTGGAATCCCAGTCCTGCCACTCCTAGCTGTGTGGCCCTGGGCCAGATACTTAACCTCCCTGAGCTTCAGTTTCCTCACTAGTAAGATGGGAATGATAATAGTAAGTACCTCATAGAGCTGTGGTGAGAATGAAATGAGGTAACCCATGGTACCTGGCAAATAATATGTGGCCGAGAAATATTAACTATTAATAAGAGAAGGTAAACAAATCAAGATCATACTGCAGAACTGGGATTTGAACCCAGATCTCCACAACTTTAAAGCCTGATTCTTTCCATCATGCCGTACAACCTGGGGGTCAGGCAGAGTGGAAGTGGTCAGGGAAGACTTCCTGGAAGAAGAGGTGCTAGAGGTTGGTAGGAAAGAGGGGAAGAGGCATTCTGGAAGAGAGGCCCAGCGTGAACAGAGATGCGGCTGCTGGAAGGGCCACGGGAGCCTGACACACAGCGAGGGGCCCGGGGGAGGGTGGGGGTGAGATAGAGGGAGGCCTGGCTGCCAGGTGCTGGGCTGAACTGCTCTGAGAGGGGCTGGGAGGAGGCGGCTGACGGGGAGACCCCGAGGTCAGTGAACGCTTTTGCAGGAGCAGAGCAGTTGGTTTTGCCACTCCCACCCCTCCAATTTCCCTCCTTTTCCCACAGCCCCCGCTTGACTTATCCCCTCCCCTGGACTTTCCTCCCTCTCCTTTTGCTCATGTGGCCTCTTCTGCTGGTATCATGCCTCCCCCCACCTCTGCCAGTGGAACCCTCCTCATCCTTCAAAGCCTATCTCAAAGGTTACCGACTCTCCAGAGACCCTTCCTGGGCCCCTGTCAGAAGCGCAGCTGCCTCTGTGCTCCCAGAGCTCTGGGGAAGCATCTCTGGGCAGCACGCACCGCATTTTCCCTCCAGGTGCTCTTGGGGGGGACTTGGTCCTTCAATACCTCTTGCTGTCACCTTTCTTCCTCTCTCTCTGTGACATGGACATGTCTGCTCATCTCCCCTACACGCCTACCACCAGTGTTTCATTTGTCGGGGGAGCACAGAGTCCACATGTCCGGGCACGAGCTGATCCACCTGGCTGTTCCAGCAAGAATTAGAAAGTGTTCTGACACTTCAAATACACCTACTGAGAAGTGGTCAGCTCTCAGACTTCCTTTTTTTTTTCATGTCATTCCTCTGTTTTGGTGTAAACCAGAGATGACAAACTCAACAGGGGAGCCAAGAGGAGGCCCAACAGGAGGGGAGGGCTAAGCTATGTTATATAACTTATCAAGACAGGAGTTTGATGCTGCAGTCAACAAATTACATTGTCAGTTTGTCAGCTGAATTCACAGTGCTGCTAGATCTCAGGTGAAATTTAGGGCACTGATCTCAGGGAGGGAATTAGAGGCCATATGGCAGGATTTGGATGATTTAGAGCACCCCCAGCTCCAGTAAATCCCCGCGCAGCACAAGCTGCCCTGCCTGAAGACCTTGAAGTGACCTTGTCTTGGAAGTTACCCTGCAAAGTGTTCTAGTTGTTTATTGCAGAGAAACAAGCCACTCCACACTTAGTGTCTTAAAATGACAATTCATTCTTTTTCACAGTTCTGCGGGTTGGCTGGGCAGTCCTTCTACTGGTCTTGTCTGGGCTCGCTCAGGTGACTGTAGCCGCTGGATGCTGGGCTCAGCTGGGATGGCTGGGCGCTGAGCCTCTCTCTTATGTGGGCCTGCGTCCCCGTCTTCTTCCTGGCACAGTGGTGGCCTCAGGATTCTGAGAGGATAAAGGCGGGAGCTAAGCCTCTGAGGCCTGGGCTCTGCAGCTTATATCATGTCGCTTCCATCACATCCTGTTGGTCAAAGCAAGTCACGAGGCCAGCCTGGATTCGAGGGGTGAAAAAGAGACTTCACGTCTGGATGGAAAGAGCAGCGAAATATCATGGGCGTGATTTCAATCTACCCCGCAGGGGGAGGCCAAGTCTCTTCACACACCAATCCCATTGTCTCCAGTCCCATAACTGGGATTAGACACTTTCCTGTCTCAGAAGACTAGTTCCAGAGTCAGATGGGGGAGGAGGAAGCAGCCACATCAGAAGAATTGCAAGATTTTGCTAATTTATATCACCAAGAAGTCTGGATAATATATGTGGGAATGTTTTCTGTGGGTGCTAGTTCATGGAGGCAGGAACACAGTTTTCACTGGGCTGGATTTATTAATATGGGTACATTTACCTAAGATTCTAGAGTCAGTGTGCCAGTTTGAGCAGCTAGGAGTGGTTTTCATTGTTTGCTTAGCTGGTTGACTGAAACCTGGATTCAACTGAGGCCTATGCTTAATTGATATTGAAATGCCAGAATTCCTTGCTTTAACATAGAGGAAGGAATCCAGTGCTAAGGCAGGGAGCAATGTTGATGTGGATTTACCCTGTGTGACCCACTCACATACTCCCAAGCCAAGTTGCACACTCCCGACTTCCTCTTATAGGGCCTGGAGGAAATTCCCTTCACCGAGGCATGAAGAAACATGTTAGTGAGGGGAGCATCTCTGAAACATGATGCAGTACTTGTTCCCTGCAGGCTAGGGATACTAGTGAAAGACACTGCCACAGAAATGGGCTCCATGATTTTAGTGGAAATGATGGGATCCCAGGGGAGCAGAGCACAGACAGCAGCACTTGGCCATCTGGGACGTCAGATGCCAAGTGGTACTCAGAATGGTCTAACCCACAGATGTCTTTAGCAAAGACTAATTGTTTAAGGGCCAAATAGGACCAAAGGGACCAA